CTCCCGGTAGCGGGCCGGGTCCGGCTCGTCTTGTCCTGCCGGGAGCGAGGGGGCAGGGACCTTTCCGTGCGCGCCCCTGTCCCTTGCGGGCCGTGGAGAATGCCGGGTCGGCTCCCGGATGACCTTGGACAAGTCCCTGACCCTCTACGGGCCTTAATTTCCTCCGCAGCAAAGCCTCATCAGGGCATGCGGCGTTTTTTGCCAAGGGGCCCCACGTTTTGAAATGCTTTGCTCAGTAAAGTGCACCTAAATAGTTGTTTTATCCCCACTGGGTTGATATAGTTCATTCAAACAAGAAGCTTGGCGTTTTGAGTAGTTCAACTGGAAATAACCACGTGGCTTTGTAAGGCTGTTTAAAGAATTTAAAACAGTTTGGAACTCCTTATCCTTGTGGACCCCTTGAGGTCTGGGAACTCTGGGCTGGGACCAAAGAGCTAGGTGATTTCTCTCCATCGACCTGAGCTCATGGCACTCATCTGTTCCCTGGCCTCTGTCCTGTCCCCTTGGTCTCTGTGCACCCCCTTTCCCTTCCAAGCCTGATAGCTCTGTTTGAATGGGTGGGGGGTAGGCAACAGGTGCCAGGTATCAGTACCGTGCGACAGATGAGGAGCAGCAGCCATCGAAGGGGTGAGGCCCTCACCGGTGCACCTCTGGATAACGCCCCCAAGGAGTACCCTCCCAAGATCCAGCAGCTGGTCCAGGACATTGCCAGCCTCACGCTCCTGGAGATATCAGACCTCAATGAACTCCTGAAGGTATCGTGACAGGGTGGCACAGACCAGGGACTCAGAATATAGATGGGGGACCACTGTGTCTTGTTCTTGTTTGATAAATTGTCTAAAGTGTGCTTCCTTGGGTGCAAGGACTGTGCCAGGCTTGTTGTTCTTCTATTATTGTGGTTTGGTTGGTATGCCCTAGCTACTAACACTCTTCTCTTCTATCTCTGCAGAAAACGTTGAAGATCCAGGATGTCGGACTCATGCCAATGGGTGGCATGATGCCTGGGGCTGTCCCTGCCGCAGCAGCCCCAGAGGTGAGCCCTGACCCAGATCCTGGGCAAAAAGAGGCATTTCTTTGGTGCCCTGTTCTGCTGTGTCCTCACGTGATGTGGCCACATTTCTTTTGTCTGTTATCTCGGGTTCCACGCGGCCATCAGCCTTTGCAGCCTGCAACCTGTGCACACTTGCCATTGCAGGACCTCCTTCCTGTATAAGATATGCAACTCCTTGTTATGTGGAGACTGTGTTGCTAGTTGAGGGAAACAGGTGATAAGCCAACAAGAGGAGGCCAGGCATGTTGGCCTGTAATTTCAGCACTTTGGAAAGGCAAGGCAGGAGGATCTCTTTTTTTTTTTGCGTTGGAGTCTCACTCTGTCGTCTAGGCTGGAGTGCAGTGACACACTCACGGCCACCCCAGCATCAACCTGCTAGGCTCCGGCAATCCTTCCGCCTCAGCCTTCCAAGTAGCCAGAACTACAGGTATGCGCTACCACATCCGGCTGATTTTATTTATTTTAGGGACAAGGTCTCGCCAAGTTTCCTGGGCTGGTCTCAAACCTGTGGGCTCAGGCAATCCACTTACCTCAGCCTCCCAAAGTGCTAAGATTACAGACTGAGCCACTGAACCCAACCCTAGGAGGATCTCTTGAGATCAGGAAATTGGATCCAGTCTGGGCAACATAGCAAGACTTTCTCTCTACAGAAAATTTAAAAATTGGCTGGACATAGTGACACACACTTGTAATCCCAGTGACTCGGGAGGCTGAGTGAGAAGATCCCTTAAGCCCAGGAGTTGGAGGCTGCATGGAGCTATGATTGTGCCACTGCACTCCAGCCTAGGTTATAGCAAGCACGAGGCTGTATCTCTTAGAAAAAGAAAAGAAAAGAAGGTTGGGCATTGTGATTCATGCCTGTAATCCCAGCACTCTGGGAAATGGAGTAAGAGGGTTGCCTGAGTTCAGGGGTTTGAGACCATCCTGGGCAACTTGGTGAGACCTCGTCTCTATAATAAATTAAAAAATTAGCCAGGTGTGGTGGCACAAGCCTGTGGTTCCAGCTACTTGGAATACCAAGGCAGAAGGACCACCTGAGCCCAGCAGGTCAAGGCTGCAGTGGCTGTGAGTCTGCCACTGCACTCCAGCCTAGGCGACAGAGTGAGACTCCAATTAAAAATTTAAAAAACAGCGGGGAGGGGGTATTGACAGTAGTCGATATCTGCCTGGGGAAAGGGGGGGACCACCTCATCGATAAGGGCAACTGCACCGTAAGTATTTGTATATCTAGTCTTGAATTGTACCCTACAATTTTAAATAAAAATTAAAAGAGGGAAAAAAATTTTAAAAAAATTTAAGCCGGGCTCATTGGCTCAGCCTGTAATCCCGCGCTTTGGGAGGCTGAGGTGAGTGGATTGCCTGAGCCCGC